GGTTTTTTTTTTTAAAGCAAAACAGTAGAAAGTTATGTTTAATGCTAGTTTTTTAAAAATGTGCTTTGAGTTTGTGACTGTACCAATCACAACTGGAAAGATGTCATATTCAAAGAAGGGAATGAGATCTATAAGAAAAGTCATTTTCACCAACTCCCCCTTCTGAAACTCTTCCCCATTCCTTCCCACACTATTCTATAGGATCACCAGCTTTCTGGAGCTGCTTTCCAAAACAGACACAGAAGAAGGAGAATATTGTCTTCCCTCCTCTAACAGAAGTCTCCAAGGGTGGAAGCTCAAACCCAGGAGCTCTGAATATAAACCTTTACATATTGTCTTTGGTGATTTAAAGGTAGTGGTTCATAACTGATCTTCTGCCTTCTGTTCTAATGCAAGCAAGGACAACTACTGCAAACAATATGTTCGTTGTGGGGTGGGGTGGGGAGTTAACTTGAGTGGAGATCAAGACTGAAACTTCACCAAGAATGAACTCAAGTCAAAATCATCTATCTAAGAGATCTCATGATCCAAGAAGTTACAAGATCTAGAGTCCTAGCAAGAAGTTCCATAGGAACATTTCAGAAGGCAAATGGTCAGTTAACGATGACATCATGTATGGCTTAGATATCCTACTGTGTAACCTCATATGCAGTTTGTCAGCAGTGTCTAGGATAAAACTGGCAATAGGGAAGTAAGTACCTGTGTTACTGATTCTGCCCATGTGAGGGCAAACTTCTAAATCGTATAGCACTACTGATAAGAGAACCTAAGGACAGTTCTAATATTCAAAGGGTACCCAAATGTTTTTCTTCCTGTAGAATATGGAAAAGTGTTAGAAATAATTCAGATGTCCTTCTGTTTCCATTAGTCTTGTTCCATAATCCGTACATGATGTCAGGATAGTACAAATATGAGAACTATAACATGCTATTCGTGAAAGAAAAAAAAGAATCACATGCTCTGTAGTGGCTGGTTGTCAACCACTTTGAGCTCATCTCTTAAGTTTGGTGAACTGGAACAAACCACTGGGTGGGAAATGTCCTTCACAGCTGATTAATTAACTGGCTTTGGCTGCAACATTAGTGTCCCATGGCACCACAGTAAATTATGAATATTTTGTCATCTTGTTATTTCACATCCATTCCTTCCTTCCTTTTACCCAATCTGGAGATCTCTCTCTTTTTCTTTTTCTTTTTCTCTATCTCTTTTTCTCTTTTTGCAAAATAAGCAGGAAAAAATGGTGAGAAAATTTAGTGAATTACATGATACTCATTCTTCCAGTTGTCATGCACTCAACACTTCAGAATTGATATAGATTTCATGCTTTCCATACATTGAAATAAATCATTATGAAATAAGTACACTTCCTTTGCCCATTTTCTCTGGGGAATTCAGGTCCCTGAAATATATCCATAGTTCAGCTCTCATGCTATTAAATAAATAGTAGTGTCTGAAATTCTGTGCCAGCTGCATCTACTTTTAGGCTAATGGTAGAGTATACAAAGGGTGAGGAAAATGACAGAAGAGGAAGCCAATCCTAATTCTTCCAAGAAAAATATAAATCTGGCTCCTCCTCATTTCTGGAATACGTTTGTCATCCAAGCCTATAGACATATGCTTTCAACCTTTCAAATGAGCTTTATGCATCTGCCAGCCAAATGGATTTGAGACCAGAAGACTACTAAAAGGCATTTATTTCCCTGTGCACTAACTCTCCAGAGAGCTAGCAGCAATCATTTGTGTACGCTGCGCATGCACGCGCATGCAAGCGCATGTACTTTAAACAACTCAAGATTGTTTTACGGAACATTATGGCAGTGACATGAGCATCAACCTCACCCACCACTCCAGTACTCTGCCCACAACCTAGCCTTCATATAAATCCTTCCCCTATCCAGGCGGGAGTATTACTTCGTTGTCAGTGAGGCTTGAAGGCAAAATACCTGAAATCTCTTCCTAAGCTTTGTCATTTGCCATGCCTTGGTGACTGGAACCTACTGCGGTAGCATTGGAGCCTGCCTAGATGCCAAAAGGCACTGAGGACATCAGGGTGCCCACCTCTCTGTGTAGTGGAAACAATGCTCTTCAGAAGCAACAAAGGAAATCTCACAACAAAATACTGTATGTAGCAGCATCCCACCCCACCCCAGGATATAGGATCCCAAGATAAGTTTGCATCACAAAGACTAAACCAAGGTAGCCTGGAAGGAAACTGGAAGAAGGCAAGGAGGAAGTGGGGGAGAAAATGTCACATTTTCTTTCTTTTTTTTACCACTTGGACAAGTTTCTCCTGCCACCTCCTCCCTCCAGCTAGTAATAAGACCATCTTCCAAGACAGTTGAGAGAGGAGAGGAGGCGCAGTTAGCTACAATAACAACAATGCCCCCAGTCCAAATCTCAGCCTCTCCTTTCTCCCAGTTTTTAGGCTGGTGGAATACCAATGCCAATCTTAAAGACAAGCAAGGAGGATAATATAGATATATATATGTATTTTAAATGAAAAAGCAACACCAACCTTGAGGATCCCAGTTCACCTGTTTCCTTGGGGTCTCAATTGGAAATTTCATCGCTTCCTTTGCACAAGGAGAAGGAATGGACTGAATGAATTTCCAACCTTTTTTTTTCTCCTGCCTCTGTGCTGCAGCCAAACAAACAAATTAATTTGAGGCGGGGAGGCAGAGTCTGCGCCCTTGGAGTGGGGAGGAGTAAAAGCGGGAAGGCTAGGAGTTGCCAGGCAAAGGAGGTGCACGTGAAAACAAGGAAGGTAAGAAGAGGGTTCAGCTCTGGAAAATAAGGCGGAGGGGAGGTGAAGCCGTCCTAGTGGACCGGAGCAAAGTCAGCTTCGATACAATCAAGATGCGAGAGAAAGACGCCAGCTCGGAAAAGGAGAAAGTCCGATCCCTGGTTTTATAGGATCGCCGAGAGCAGCTCGCCCAGGTTCCCTGCTCCTTTTTGCAGATGCTTCCAGGGTGTTGAGTTGACCACTGCAGCATTACTCACTGGGCTGCGGGCGCATACGTGAATGGATGGTCCAGCCAGTTGCAGATCCGGGGTGGCTGCCAGGGAATCTAGCCAGCCAGCCAGCCAGTCACTCAGTCAAGCTTTGGCAGCCCGCCTGGTCGCTGCGCTCCCAATAGCTCTGGCGAAGGCATTCAACAAGCCCATCTCCCTGGCATCATCATCATCATCACCAGCCAGCTGCCAAAAGGAGGGCGAGCGCGGCTCAAGATCTGTGCACGGCTTGCACAAAAACACATAAGAAGCATAGGGGAGCAGGAGCAGGCAGATGATGATGATGATGACGACGAGGGAAAAGAGAAGTCATCGCCTACTTGCTAGTGGGTGCTACAGCCGCATGGCCTGCGGGAAGGTGGGGGCCACCATCCCATCCGAATGCAGCACCAGCCAGGCGGCAGCAGGCACACGCCGGACGGAAGAAGGGAGCGAGCACCAGCCAGGCGGCAGCAGGCACACGCCGCACGGAAGAAGGGAGCGAGCCCCCCTGTCTCCCTCCCTCTCCGAGGAGCTGATCTCAAACTTCAGCGGGGGCACCTTGGCTCGGAAGGCGGGGTGGGGTAGGGGGGCGGGAGGCTTCTCGGGTGGGAGGGAAGGAAGGCAGGAGGGAGGGGGGCAAGCGAGAAAGCGCATGGCTTTGAGAGGAGGAGGGGGGATGAGCTCAGGTTGCGCCGGGGGTGGGGGCGCTGGTGGTGCCTGGCTACTTACTGGCTCCCTTCCTCGCCTGGAGGAGGAGATTGCATTGCAGTGTTGTTAGGTGGAGTTTCGCAGCGGCGACGCGCTTGCCTGCCTGCCTGCCTGCCTGGGTGGATGGGTAGGTGGGCGAGCGACTGGATGGCAGGAGACGCGGCGGCGGCGGCAGAGAGGAAGGACGCCAGCTGCAGAGGAAGCCCCGGGAGCGGGTGCTGCTGCTCCTTCTTCGTCTGAGGGTCCCACCTTTCTGCCCCGCCGGCGTCCGAAAGCAGTGCACCATTGCACAATGACGGCAGTGCTGGCGGCGGCGGCGACAATGAACGATAATGAGGATGGTCCCTAGTGATGGGCGACGAGAGTTGCTCTGTGCGAATTCGGGGGGGGGGGGGGGGGGGAGGGGGGGGCGCGCGCAAAGCCAAGGCAAAATATAATTGCTTATCACGCCAAGGACGCTCTCCCTTTGGGGGACGGCGAGATTATCCAAACTCCCTACCCGAAGCGCTATTGCCAGATAAAACTTAGTCGCCTTTCAGGTCCCACAAGACTCCGCGTCGATATGGGTCCGGGCACGCTGCAAACGCACACGGTTAGCGCACGGACATCGCTGCCGAGGGACTCTGGACCCAGCCCTCCGAAGTTGCTTAATTTATTATTTATTCAACAATGACGTATACTATACCCGGCCTTTCCGTGCCAAAGTAGCGCTCAAGAAAGCTTACAATCTTCGTAACAGAGCGAAAACAAAAGCAATTGTGAACCAGAAGCTAAAGCCGTTATAACCAAGTAAAGCCAACCCCCTTCAGCCAGCTCGAAAAGACGAGAGAAAAGTCGTGTGAAACATATTGCCCGGCAGCAGATGGGGTGGGCTTTCTCTTGGATTCTTTCACGGCTGACGGCCAGTACATCATCATCATCATCATAAAAAAATAGCCGTAATAGTAGTAGTTATCGATATGTATCGGCCATCAGCCGTGACAAGTGTGTGTGCGTGCGTGTACGTGTGTGTGTGCATGTACATGTGTACACAAGCCCTTATTCTCAAGTCATTGCCACGGTGATTTCATGGACTTTACCACGCTCAGGAATACGCGGAATAAGGATTGCAGCTTAGGTTTGGCAGGCTTCCATTCTCACGAGCATTTGGCTCCACGTGTATCCTCCTCCACTTGTTTCCGTTCCGGACCAAAATATCAGACGCGTCCTGTCGGCGCACGTTGTATGCGTTCAGGAACATAACGCGATCAGGCCAAGCCTGGCGGCAGACAATGAACAGAGAGAGAGAGAGAGAAGACGCCGAGAAGAAGCATGTTCCTGGTCGGAGGCCAGCAGGACCTGCACGTTACGTCTGAATGGGGACACTGAGGGGATAGGAGTAGTACCATCAGGCGTTGTGGTGGAAGGCTTTTGCCTTCGTCCTGTCTGGGAGCCATTGTGGCGACACCGGGCCACAGAGGACAAGTGGCTTGAGAATGAAAAGGCTACCTGTTCGCTCTTCCCGGAGCCACAACCTCCTTTTTTCAAAACAAAACACTGCCCTCCTCCCTGTCTTAGATATTGAGGGTTTTTCCCCCTCCACCCAAGGACCCTGGTCGCGTTATTCCTCGCATGCCCGGCCCGTGGGCCTTTCCGCGTGTCTTTGCGACAGCTGTCGTCGGCTCACTCTGCCCCCTTCCGCCCACTCCGGGGTTGATTGCGGGTCAAAGACAGGTTGGCACCAACGGATTCCCCCGAAGGGAGGATCAGCAGGTTCTGGAGGCAGCGGCGCCGGCGCCCCAGCGATCTTGTACGCTTGACTACAATCGCCCAGACGGAGGGGGAGAAAAAACGGAGACAACCCGGGGTTCCTTTGAGATGCGTTGGGCTGCTTCAGCCTCTGGAGTGATTCAAGGGTGGATTTCAGGCTTGTGCTTTGTGTTTCTTTTGCGTGCCGAGGTTGATTCCCCCACATGTGAATCCAGATCCCTTGCTGGATCCACGTGTACAAGTGGGATCTGCAACAAAATGTTGCAATGTGGAATGCTCCTGTAGGGCGAAAAAACTGTCTTCTCCCAAAATATGCCCTTCTTGCCACCATCATCTTTCAACAATCAGTCAGCGTCCCATAGCCATTGGGCATGCTTGCCTCCATTGTACTACTGGGGGGTAGTTTTTCCCCTAAGAGGATCCCTTCCTAATATGTATTTTTTTGAAGAACCTTGGAGTTTCCTCTTTCTGGTCGCCCCTATGAGGCCATTTTATCTGCCTAAGGACTAGCACCCCAAGAACTGAGATTACTTTTAGCACTTAGGTAGGGCATAGGTTTTTCACATTACCTCTTCAGTACTGTCTCGACAGCTGGTATATGCCACACCAGACTCATTCATTCCAAACACTGAGAAGAGTGACAGTCAGCTATGCATGTTAAGTACATCCAGAAGGTGACAGTTGTTATTTTCTGTTTCTCAGGATAACTCTATTCATAGGGGAGTTGTGGCTGGTTTGGTTGGGTTTTTGTATTTGTTGCCTAAGTTGCACCAGATGCCCAGTAATGGCAAATCGGCCATTTGAACGCTTCCTTTTGTCCAGAACTCAGTAACTGGCATCCCACTGATCAGATTGCATTAAGAATGTTTTGTGGTGCTCAAGATCATGACTTGTATTTACAGTGAAGTGTACCCAAAAGAGCCACCACCAGGTACAGTCTAATAAGAGAGAAAAAATTGCCGGCCACAGAGACTGGCGAAACGTTAGGAAGAACAACCATCAGAACACGGTCAAAGAGCCCGAAAAACCCACAACAACCAATACTTCAGTACAATGCTGAAATGCAAGTGAACTGTGCAACTTGTGCATGCCACCTCTTTGTTCATTTCTTCTTAATATCTAACAATGAACTGAGGGGGGTCATCATATTAGACATATTTTCAGAGCTTTGCAAAAGGTTTTCTTTTTGAGCTACATCTCTCAGATTGCCCTATGGCAATATTGGCTGAGAGATCCAGAGAATGTGATTTAAAAAAAAAAAAAAGTTCAAGCTCTGTGTGTTTCCCATTATTTCCAATATATTTATTAATTTATTGTATTTATACTCTCCCTTTCTCTCTGTAAAATCTTCTCTTTATGGTAATGATAGAAAGCTGGTTCTGAAGTTAACAGGGACCTATTGTTCATTTATAGTGTGGTAGATCACTGGTTCTTAACCTTGGGTTACTCAGGAGTTTTGGACTGCAACTCCCAGAAGCCTTCACCACCAACTGTGCTGGCTGGGGTTTCTGGGAGTTGCAGTTCAAAAACATCCGAGTAACAAAGGTTAAGAACCACTGTGGTAGATCAATGGTTCCTCACCCTGAGTTTCCAGATGTTCCTGGACTGCAACTCCCAGAAACCCCAGACAGTAAAGCTGCTGGTGAAGACTCCTGGGGGTTTTAATTCAAGAATTAAAACAGACATTGTTCAAATTGGCCTTTTATAGTTGCTTAATATTTATGGGTTATTGTGATTATTTAAATTGTTTTATTGCTTAATTTATAGCAACCATTTTAATGATTTTATTGATTTGTTTTTCATAAAGTTGACAGCTGCCTTGAGTCTTTTGTTTTGGATTTTTTTTTATTATAAAGTTGAAGAAAAATGCAATGAATGAATGAATGAATGAAGTGTGGTTTAATTAACCATTTTTCTACTGCAGCCTCTTTTCTCCTTACACAAATCTAAATGTGGAGATTTTCTCTATTTGAGGATTTCTAAGGTCAGTAGCATGGGCTGGAATCTTGAAAACCTCAAACCAGAGTGAGATGTTGCCCACATTTGTGGCTATCTAGTATTTCAGGGACACCGTGCTTCTTTTTCCCATCTCCTGGGATGGAAAAGCTGGACATTCCATCAGATACATCAGATCTAACCATGAGTTGCTGTGCTTGGAGGAACAAAGCATCACCTTGTTGACCAGGCCAAGGCCTGTCATACACATCCCCTGGAAGCTTCCTGGTGCTGCTTTCTACAAAGAGAGAGGGCACTAAGGCCTGAATACACACTATTCAGGTGAGCTCAACTAGGACACACCCAGCGTCTCAGGATGACATGGATGCAAAACGTTGTGATATGAAGATGATCCAAACCCTCAGCTTCTCTTGAGACAAGAGTGTGAGATGACCTTCATTCAGTGGTAGGTTAGGTCACCTGCTTTGCCTGCAGAAGGTGCAGGGACCAATCCCTGGTGTTAAAGCACATAAAGCACTGAGGTTGGTTATTCCCTATCTCAGTTCCTTTCTTGGTCACACTGCAACTAAAGAAACACACACAAAGTAATCAGGATCTGTTTCAAGTCAACCAAAGCCTGGTTTTCATTCTGAATAATTTTAATTTCCAGAAATCTCAGTATGATACTCCACATCCATGCTGAAGTAGCCACAACTGAATTTGCAAGAAATCTGAGGCCTTACAAATGCATTCCAAAGTGACCTGGGTTTGGAATGCAACTTCTTCCATTTAGGTATAGGGAAAGATAAGCTTGAATAATCCAAGCTTTTCCTCCTATGATTACAATCAAAGTTATTGTAACACGGCAGCAAAGCACTGTCTAATCTCATTCTGTTTTACATTCAGGTTTGGTAATCTCACGTCACTTAGAATTCCAAAGCTTCTTCAGACTTCAATGGGATTTTCATCTATTCAGCAGCCCGTCATTGTCCTGGTCCTAGAGTAGAAGCAATAATATTAAACTCAAGCCT